TCAAGTTGCGGTAATGTTTTAGTTTTATCTGCATTACATCTTTTAATAATTTAGAGTTACATCTTGTTGTATCCTAATAAGTTTTTTTACTTCTTTTTATTTCTAGATTGGTATGGGAATTCCTACAACATAATCAAATATGGCAAGCAAGTGCACCTAGCAGTTCAAGTCAACCAATATACACAACTCCTTCTGTGTGTGATGATACTACAGCTGTTAGAAGGGTCAAAGAAACTCAACCAACAGGGACAGTAAGAGGTAAGAGGCAGAGGAAGAGGAAGAGGGATTGGAAGGGGTAGAGGCAGACCTCTTCAGACTTCATTTGGGACAGCAACAGAAGTAGGAGTTAATGCTACAATCGAACTTGGTAATGGACCTGGTGTTACAAGTGGAAGAGGTTATGGAAGGGACAATTCTGAAACTTTTGGAGCTCAAAAGAGGCCGAATGTGGGGTTTGGACTATACACAGATCAAAGAACTGGAAACCAAATCCTTAATGTATGCACCTTTCTGTTGGTTTATTTTTTATATATAAACATAAATTGATTGCCACATTTTTAACTTTATTTATTTTTTGTTAAACAGCCTGGTACATCTTCAGAAAGGTTTGTGATGGGTGGTAGAAATATGAAGGATGCTAGTGCAACCAATATTGACATTGGATTTAAACCGAGAAAATTGCAATGGAAGGGAAGAGAAGCAGTCACTACCTCACAGTTGCAGAGTATGGCTGCTGCCAAGAAATCTTCATCCAGTATTGACAAGTAGTTGAGATAGGAGTTAAAGTACTAATATAAGTTAGGATTTAATGTTGCATATGTAATTTAGCTGCACTTGTGTATTTGATAGCTTTTAAGGCTTTCTTCTTTGCTTATGAAATAGCTGCATTTGTGTATTTGACAGCTTTGCTCTTTTGCTGAATACTATTTTTGTTCAGAGTTGTTAATGTCAAAACGCAAATTCTATCAACCACTTGTGTGTTTTAATTTGTAAAGTTTTATTCCACTAGCTTACAAGTGCCTTGTAAAGAGAGGGCATGCCAAATGAGAATAGTCAAATCCATGTACACTAAACTTTCTTTTAAAAAAAATTAAGAGGAAAAATGATTGCTTCTGACGAAAAGAAGAAGAGGAATAGAATAAGAGTGTAAAAGTTACCTTTAATTGGAGTAATATATGACAATATAATAATACAATAAATAATAATATAATAATATAATCTAACAGCTTTTTTCTCATGTTCACGCGCCCTTTTCCACGCACTCAACCATGTCATTACAAAGTGTCTAATTGGCACAAATGTGATTTAGTTGAAGGGCCTGATAGGAACAACTCCATGTTTAAGTGTCCAAGTTACAAAAAAGGCCAAGTTTTAAGGGTCAAATTATGTATTCTGCCTTTAAAAAATTAGCCTCAACATAAATAGCATCATTTAAAGAATGCAGCAACAGTGGTCAGAAAATATGGAGATGTTACCTCGGTGTAAGAGGCTGAAACTATCTTTTCTTTTTATCTTTTAATATGACCTGAATTTTGTACGGAGCATACTATTCATTAGTCTAATTATTTACCACATAATCCAGAATCTCAGTGATATTAAAAATAACCTTATTAGAAGACAGAAGTCATACAATTATTTCAATGGACAACTGCTAAATGTAAAAGAAACTAGGTTTGACATGTTAATAAACTTGACGTGGAAACAATTAGTTAGAGGATTCAACTTCTTCCCTCCCTCCCTCCACTCCACACAAATATTACAAAAGAGGAACTGCTCCGTCAAGGATTGACGATGTTGCCTGTTTAATTTGGGCTATGAAACTAATTCTGATTATTTAAATAGAATATTGTCGAATAGTCAATTTAGCACGTTGGAGAAACACGGGTATAGTACAATTACGTGTCAATCCCAGGTCGGTTATATCACTCCACACTGATCATGTAATTCAAACTCACGTGAAATGTGTGCATATTAGTTCAAAAAATTGTTGTTTACTATCATATTCGAACAATAAATTTTAGTATATCAGACAATCATGTGGATACAACAATAACTATAATCATTCTGCTCCATTCTCACCATTTCATTCACCTCTCGTTAGACAACTATGTGGTTTGTAGTTTTAAAAATAATGATGCTCCCAATCACAATAAAGATCCGGAAAAGGTCCAATAATATCCCTAAACTATGGTATATAACTCACTTTTGTCCTCCGTTAGTAAACTAGGCCAAAATTATCCTCCCCGTTAGCACAATGGGCCGCTAATGCCCTTCAACCTAACAACCCTCCACACAAACCATTTTAATCTTGCATGGCATCCACACAACTGTGACATGGCAGCCACATAAGCGGGGCAACCTCACAAACGAGCTCCGAATCCCATTTCCAAACAAAGATCAAACATAGGCCGTAACCTCATTTCCAAATCCCATTTCCAAGCAAAAACCCAATTTCTTCCTAGACCGTTCTTCCACGGCGATTTGAGAGTTGAGGTGATGATAAGATCGAGCAAGCTTAGTGTTTTGGATGAGGGATTCGTAGGAGACTCGGTGCCGTATATAGCCTTGTTGCGATTTAGGTTTCTTGTTCTTCTCTTTTTAAAATCAAAATCATTTCTTTTTTTTGTGTATCATTCATATATGTACACATACTAGTTAGTGCTTTTGGTTGATTGTTTTTCAACATTCTGTTATGCTTTTTTCTATCTTTTTTTGGAATTTTAATATTTTAATGTTGCAAAGTTCTGAAGCTCGATTTGCACTCCTTTGGCCATTTGTCTTTGAATTGCTTTTTGATGTAAAAAAAGCTCTGCTGTGTTAAGAAATCAGTTGTTGACTGATGTTAAGACAGAGATTAGTATTAACCAAATATGCCACCTCACGAAAATTGAAGATATTGGAACAAATAGCATTAAGGGAGTAAGGCAGACACTTCACTTTACCCTCTAAATTTATTATTTCAATAGGAATGCATGCGTTGTATTAAGAAGAACAGTGTTTATTGAGTTTGAAATGTGCCTAGAGGCCTATGTGTAATATGTTATTATTTTTCTCAGTATAAGAGCTCTATGACTCTGCTTTTTTTTTTGCAAATCTGGACAGTGTTGGACAGTGTTGTTTACAGCAGTGTTTTCTTTTGCAAATCTGGACAGTTTTGGACAGTGTTGTTTACAGCAGTGTTTTTTTTTGGCAAATCTGGACAGTTTTGGACAGTGTTGTTTACAGCAGTGTTTTTTTTTGGCAAATCTGGACAGTTTTGGACAGTGCTGGACAGTTTTTTGGTTTAGTTTGCACAGCAGTGTTTTGTTTTGTTATTTTCCAAGGTTGTTGGTTCATGAACATGTGATTTAAACCACAGTTTGTTCCAAATGTGGCTGCCCCGCTTATGTGGCTGTCATGTCACAGCTATGTGGATGCCATGTAAGATTAAAATGGCTTGTGTGGAGGGCCGTTAGGTTGAAGGGTATTAGTGACAGGGGCGGAGCTAGTGAACTCAGTCGCTTTGGTCCAATTCATGTATTTGTCTTAAAAATCCATTGAATATGTAGAAATTATTATTTTAGAACCCAATAACTTAAAAGGACTAGAACCAAGAACCCATAAGCTTCAAATTCTGGCTCCGCCTATGATTAGTGACCCATTGTGCTAACGGTAGGGATATTATTGGACCTTTTCCGATAAAAACAATTTTATTTTATTTTTGAATTTTTAACACAATCACAATAAAAATCTTTTTTTTTTGTATTTTTCACACAATCACAATAAATAGTAAAATGGTAATTACACAATTAAGAAGAACTTACGTTTTCTTCATTTGGGCTTTTTCAGCATATCGCTTCTTAGCAAGCATTTTACCCTTAATACCCAACGTCTGTTTTTCAAAACAAAGAAAATTAAGCAAAAAAAAAAATCATACAAAAAAGAGGGGGTTTGAAATATAATTAGGAGCTGAAAAAAAAGAGAAATATAATTAGGATAAAAAGAGGGACCTTTTGGGCTTTTTGGGAGCGCTCCTTAACTTCACGAGCCTCCCTCTTACGTTTACGCTCCTCGTGATCATGGCGACGACCAAATCTCTTCCTGTGTAACTCTATATAATCTCCCTGCGGCTGTTTTTTTTTTTTTTTTTTGATAATTTTCACATCACAAAAATCAAAAATAAACATCAGTATATAATAATATGTGTAAAGTAAATTGTAGAAATTTGTAAATAGTTAAGATTGATGAAATAGTTGAATTCATCGTATGGGTTAGAGAAGTAACCATGGCTACTGAGTACGGACGACTGGGACTGAAGATAGAGATAGAAAGACAAACCCTAGTTTGCTTAAACCTAAACCTTTTTGGGTATAAGAAATGGGTATGGGTCGGTGAGAGAGAGAGAGAGGCCCATAAAAAGATACAACCGGGTGTGTTAGGAAAATTACAATTTCTAAATGGCAAAATACCAATCACCTGTCAGCTTGACTCAGATTATTAGTATTTTTAATGTACCTGACCTTAAGTAAAAATTGCACGAAACGCCCTATTTAATCATCCTCATTTAACTTATACCTATTTTTTTAAAAAAATTAACTTATACCCACTTTTTAAACAACTCCAACTTCATTTCTTCTCCGCTTCAGTACCTCACCAGAAGAAAGCAAGGATCTAGATTGAGATTGATATGCATAAAAACAACATCACAGGCTGTGCAAAAGCTACCCTTTCACGTTCTTACTTTATTTTTTAGCTTGCTCTAGCTCTCTCCTCTGCTTTCTACCCACTAATCCAATCCCCCGGATTATACAAGTATATATCCCTCTCTGACCTTTGTTTTTTTCTTGTGCCTTTCACATTTTTAATTAATTTAAAAATATTTATACTTGCCTAGCTAATACAAGACGAGCAACTGTATGTAATATTAATAGGTGGTAAAAAAACTTCAACTCTAAAGCTGAAATTTCCCAATTACAACACAAAAACTTCAGCTCTATAGCTGAAGTATTGTGTTGTAACTGAAAACTTCAACTCTAGTATGTAATATTAATAGGTGGTAAAAAAACTTCAACTCTAGTATGTAATATTAATAGGTGGTAAAAAAACTTCAGCTCTAGAGCTGAAGTTTCCTAGAGCTGGAGTTTTTGTGTTGTAACTGGAAACTTTAGCTCTAGTATGTAATATTAATAGGTGGTAAAAAAATTTCAGCTCTAGTATCTATCTATAATTAAAAGCATAAGACAAAAGCATCTCATGAAGCCAAATGGCAGAACAATAGAATGACACATGGCATAATTAGT